TCCATGGTGTTCTATTTTTAGATTCCAATTTTTCCAATGCCATTTTGGAGGGTTTGGGCCCAATAACAAACCCCATTTCCAATTAAAATTATTCCATATTGGAGCCAAATTTCTAACCTTAGCAATTTACTCCCAAAACTTCCTTTCCAATTCACCATTTTCTTTCCAAAATGAGGCAAAAATGCTCCAATCCCAAATCAGTCAAAATAAAGGCATTGTCTATTTCCCTTAATTACCAACAGCAACTTCATTAAAGCCCTGTGTCAAACAGAATAGCTTCTTTATTGCTTCAGTTGATGTAAACTGCATTATGGGTTATTAATTCAACTTCAAATACTTGTTGGTTTTTTTATCATACCCAATATAAACTACTTAATGATTACAGTTCTATCATTTTAAATAATATAATAGTAGTGTTAACTGTTTTGAGACATTTCAAATAAGGTGCAATGATCTCAGTAATTTTGAGGTATAAAGATTTAGAATCTATTAATAATCTGGATTTTCATCACAAGCAAAAGCAAATTAATATTATTCTAAAGGTGTGCATATATCAAGTACAAATTCCCAAGTATTTTGCAGTGATCATCCTCTAATTCCTTTTCAGATATATCAATACATCATATTGGTTAAGAAACCAGTACGTAAGCCAATCTGGTTTCACAAAATGAGAATTAATCATTAGGCATTTTTACTTGGCTGATAATTTGCATCATGAACTTAACTGTGGCAACTCACAGTAACAAAAAAAACATGGAATTACTTCTCCCCTGTGATGGTGTTGTCAAAGTTTGATGGCATAACCATAATGATGACAAAAAGACTTCCCATCCTATCACTTAACATATGTATGAATTTAGAAGTTTCACTTAAATAAACTTCACTTCAATAAAGTGAATGGATATTAATCATAGGAGATTATGATATACAATTAAACTGAGGTCATAAAGTGCTCTATTATTCAACAACGATATTAGTGCACACCCTATTATCTTTTTAAATATCAAGAGTTGGAAGTTCCATATTTTGATATTAGAATATTTAGTTGATTTTTTTTTTTTTTTTTGTTCCCTATCTGAATCTTTTATTTTGTTTTGAAACAAAAAGAAAGCATATTACAGCCAGTTAAGTGAAGATTTCCAAAGGTAAATAGAAATCACACAGTTCACAGAATATTGTCTCCAAAATACATGAAGTACATAAACAGTAATACTAAATCATTTGCTTTATAAGCTCATTGAAAAAATAAGTTTTGTTTATACAAAAACAAACAGCATTTTCACTGATGCTTTTCAATTGATAGATAAATTAAACAAAACATTGACTCAATCTCCACAAACAAAATGTTCTGGATAATCACCTACATCAATACTGTTACAAGTCATCAAATGATTAGATATCACTCATCAAAACTACGGGATCAACCTGTCCACCCAGAGAGACAAAGTCATTAACCCGGAATTGGACCAGGATGTCCAGCAATCAATTGATTTGATGAGGTCTACCAATCAATGGATTGGTCCACTGCCCATAAGGGGGATGTCAGCATTAATTGAGCTATGAACTTGTTCAAATATTGTAATGCAGTTAATCATCTTGTGCATCAATTGTATGTTTTTTTATCAGTTTCTGATGATAATACAATGACTTCAGGTGACTAGTTTTGTTTTAGTGATACAAACAAACTTTGATGGACATCTGCTATAAGTAGCAGCTGTCTAAAGCAAATGAGTTTGCTTCAAGTTTTAGAGCAGCATAAGAAAATGCATTTTAGCCAAGATTGTTTCAACAAAAAAGATCAAACATTTGTTGAAACATCAGTAGTAGAGACAGAACAAAACTTTTGAAATACATATCGTCACTATATCCTTCAGATACAACAGAAGTTACCAGCAACCCATCTTGGAGATATATTTTCTTATACATTCTTATAAATTTTACTATCGAATATTGATTTCAAAATTTTCAATTCCAGTCTGAGATAATGAGAATTCCAAGTGATTCCAAACAAAGCATATCAATCAAATGTTTGAATTATGGGGACTCGGAGTAATGTAATTGTTATCTATAAGCAAATTAGTGATCATGATGCTTTTGACAAACAAAAATGCTTGTGAGCTGAAAATCAGGGTCTTTTTTCCTCATTTTGAAAAAAAAATGGTTGAATTGGGAGAAAAATGTGCAGGGGGAATCTTAATTTTTGGGAATTTGGCTTCAATATGAAATTCTTTCAATTGGAAATGAGGCCTGGCATTACCAGCCCTAAATAGCCCTGGGAATTATACAGATCATGACCTTTTCTAGAAATACATGGGATATACGTGTATCATACCTTTTATCATTCTGTACACAAACACAGAAATGAATGTTGTAACCGGTGTATGGATGACAAGTAAAACTGGGTGATGTATATTAATTAAGATGTTAGTGCTGGATTGTTTCTGTTCAATAAACCTTTTTATACTGTTCAGTTGGAAGTTATTAATATTTAACTAAATTTTCACTTAGTTTAAACCTACAAGCTAATTACTTGTTATTGGTTATCAGTTCCTCGTTTCTTGCCCTTTGATTTATTGACTGCTATGTACAAGTTAATGGTAACAAGATACACATTATATACATATAAGATGAAATTGATTTGATAAATTTCTATAAATAGAAATGGTGACCTCAACCAACTCGTTATCATTATATACCTTATAATGCGAAACATCTCTGGTGATATTGTATATCTATGTAAAGTACTGTTTTGGCCGTGAGTGAGGGTGTTTTTGTTTTGTGCGTGAGTGTTATGTATGTGTTACTAGATGTTTTCTACATGATTATGTACTACAGTACGTGTGTGTGCGAGAGATCACTCTCCAATTAACGGTATGCATAATTGTATAATCATTTATATAATTGTATACCTATGGGCCGTAAGGCCCTTGGAATAAAATATGAATTGAAATCTTGGCACACAGAAACTCTCATGTTCCTTTGAGATACTGTCATAGTTCACCTCTACCACAATAAAATTGCAGATGTACACATCCATACAACAATTTTATAAGGAATGTTGATGTTCATAACTACTTTTATTTTACTTCAAAACTGACATTACCAAAACATTAAAAAAGAAAAAAAAAGATTGGAAAGTAACATCTGTACATATGTCTGGGAAGACTGAATCTTCAAACTTTGGAAAATAGAAGGATGAGAGGAGACATGATAAACACTTTTTAAGTTATGAACAATATATATGATAAGAAAGCTACTGAAAATTTATTTGAGATGTGTACCACAACCACAACAAGAGGGCATTCTCAAAAACTGAATAAAAAGCATTCACGATTAGACATTGGAAAACATTTCTTTAGTCAATAAACTGTAAATTTGTGGAACAGCTTGCCTCAGCATGTTAAAAATGCTACTAAAGTCAGACAATTAGAAATTTTATTTGATGAACATATCAAATTAATCAAATATGTTAGCATTTAATGAATTCACAAATAGCACCAGAAGAAATATTAACACCATTTTTTCATCAATTGTTAAATATTGATATAGACAAAGAGGTTAGCAAGCCTGCATCCATCATTTATCGTAATAAATCATAATAAATCAAAAGCACCTAAAAAACAATTGTCTATAAGTGTCAGTCACCTAAGAAGTACCAGTATAATGATGTTGTGAGTTTGATGGGCCCAAAGGAATTAAAGGAATTCAAGATTTCACAGAAATTAATTTTTTTTTGGTAATTAAGTGATCTGCCTGAACTTTGAATTCCAGACCTCACAAGTTACTTAAAGCATCACAGGGTCAACTAAAACATGTCCAATCCAGCCTCTGAAATAGACTTATAAATGTAGGTACAGGCATTGTTCAGATTAGACCCAGCAAGGTCAAATTTGGAATAACTTATAGGTATGTAGTGTGTGTCAATCTCTGGAATCAAAACATCAATGTAAACCATTATCTGTAATTGCTGACAATAAAAGCTTGGTTGATGTATAGACTGTAGTTTTAAACTTTAAATTTCAAAACCGATCTTGATCATTATTCACCATACAGTGATGGAAAAGACAGTCAATCAAGCATGAAATCAAAGTCAGATCCATTCTGCAGACAAGCATGATTATCAGTCTGAATAACTTTCACTAATGTAGAACTTACATGCAATCAATGAATCTATCAAACAATTTCTAAATACTTGATCTTCATTATTTCTCGAATGCCAATATGGATGGTGATACCAAGGACATTGTTTTTCTGAATCTAACCTACAGTGTACGAACTCTGGTATCTTTTTTTATTCATTCTTACCAATGGCTTTAGTTTTAAGATAATATATCTAATTGCAATTTAGCTTTATACATGTCTGCTGTGTGTAAAAAGAATACAATAATGATCAAAGTAAAAAACATTGGTGACATTTTAATACTTTTGCAGTTTAAACTACAACCTCAAGAACCCTTCCCCATCATCACCATCTCCCCATCCCTCCCTCCCTTCACTTTTTATTTTTGAATCCTGCTTTCTCTCCCAAAATACTTTCTATGTATCTTACAAAACTGCTTCATTTGAACAGAAGACTTCTAGCCTCGATAGCATGTTTATAACACGCATTCTTGTGAACCAGAGGAACTGTTGCAGGGATCACATGATGAAATATTTATCAAACCTTGCTTGCTTGGTTTATATATACATGTACAGCTGACAAAAACACACACACACATTGAACATCCAAAGACTGGAGAATTAAATATGTATAGCGCTCCATCAGTTGATCATGATTCAGGTGAAAAGTAGATGATGTACTTGCGTATATCTTGTGTAAGCCAGCAATGGGGCCAAGTGTATGTACACAAACACAACACGTGACAGGAAACTCCTATGTGTATTGTAACAACCCGTCTGTATGGAAACGTGTGCAATTGTGAAATAACACTATGTCAGATCATTCGGCACAGTGATCGTGGAGATGTTTACATTGTCTGCTGTTTTCGTGAACGACTTACCGTGAAGTGCAAATAAATGAAGGGGTAATGAATGGGGGACGTTTCGTCCCGCAAACGTAGGACCTTCCTCTGGTGAGCTAGAATCGGAGTCGGGAGAGCCAGCTCCCCGTGTATTACCGTTAGTACTAGGTATTGTCATTGTCCCTGGGCCCGGGCCAAAGCTCCCCAGGCTCCGGGCCCTCAAACGTGCACTTGCAGAAGAGGTTGCACCTAACGTCATTTCTGCACCTGTGCCACTCGTGCCTGGTGCACTTCCCGAGAAAGTCCGCACGCGAGGCGCGCTCGTGCTCTGTTTCCCACCCATTGTCACAACTAAGGAATCTTTATAAGTTTATCCTTAGGTCTCCATATTGATCTTGTCCGGTTCTCCATGTATTAAGTAAGAAGCCACCCCTGCTTGAAGGTTTACGCATTGTGAACATTGCCCTCCGCCATGTTAGGCTTCCTTGTTTTGCGTCATGGCACCAACACAAATCGTGACGTATTCATCATGTGATTATCACAATAACATTAACAGGCCAAACTAAGCAATAAACAATACAAATAATTTGATAACGTATATTGTATAGTAAAAAGTAGTTGCGGTTCATAATAGCCCAATTAGCATGCTATTTTGTAAAGAGTGTTTTTACTATTTTCAGGGTCAAATACGTCCCTGCTATTTTCCTTTCCAGTTTCTCCTAGTGCTATAACGATATGCAATATTTGCATACGTGCTGAAAGTACATGATTGGCTTTAGTGTCGGGAGTATTTTCTTCTTGAATCTTTGATATTCTTTTTAATCGTGTCGTATACTTTAATAATGTCGTACTTGTCGTACTTTAATCATGTCGTACTTTAATCATGTCGTACTTTAAGCATGTTGTACTTTAATCATGTCGTACTTGTCGTACTTTAATCATGTCGTACTTTAAGCATGTTGTACTTTAATCATGTCGTACTTGTCGTACTTAAATCATGTCGTACTTTAAGCATGTCGTAATTTAATCATGTTGTACTTCAATCATGTCGTACTTGTCGTACTTCAATCATGTCGTACTTGACGTACTTTAATCATGTCGTACTTGTCGTACTTTAATCATGTCGTACTTTCAGCATGTCGTACTTTAAGCATGTCGTACTTGTCGTACTTTAATCATGTCGTACTTTAAGCATGTCGTACTTTAATCATGTCGTACTTGTCGTACTTTAATCATGTCGTACTTTAAGCATGTTGTACTTTAATCATGTCGTACTTTAAGCATGTCATACTTTAATCATGTTGTACTTTAATCATGTCGTACTTGTCGTACTTTAATCATGTCGTACTTTAAGCATGTCGTACTTTAATCATGTCGTACTTTAAGCATGTCGTACTTTAATCATGTCGTACTTTAAGCATGTCGTACTTTAAGCATGTTGTACTTTAATCATGTCGTACTTGTCGTACTTTAATCATGTCGTACTTGTCGTACTTTAAGCATGTCGTACTTTAATCATGTCGTACTTGTCGTGCTTTAATTATGTCGTACTTGTCGTATTTTAAGCATGTCGTACTTTAATCATGTCGTGCTACAGTCTTAGCATTTCAATTCCATTAGTTTTTCTAGTCTCCAATATTTCCATTGTACAACAAAATATGGGTATTGATTTTACAGTTTATTTTTTTTAACAAATAAACAAAATAGGTTCACCTGTTGAACAACATAGAATAAATCATAAGAGTAACAGCAATAGCGTTGTAACGATAAGACAAGAAGCGTTTTGCATTCTCACTGGTGACTGGACATTAACATACAGCATAAATATTTTGATGAACATTGGGAGATATTGAAGACGAGTAAAACTAACGGAATCTTACGTCTGTAATAGGACATGCTAAAAGTAGATCTGCTTTGGAAGAGGTTGATACGTTGTCACCTGAACCGTGGAAAAACTGAATCCATGATCTCTTCAATTTTACCCAACTAGTACGTGACATAATAAAGTTAAAGTCAAAACGAGAAATGGCCATCAACTTTTGTTTTTTTTAACCAGTCGATATTCATCGGGCAAATGATCTACATATCCAATGTACTGATAATACTATATAGTAAAGTCTGAATTCTATTTTATAAATTATCTTTCCCTGAACTAATAGTGAATATCAGCAACAATTATCATTTTTATTATAGATATCAGAATAAATTCTAACACTTATGATCGCCCGTTGTTTATCCTTTCAGAATGGCTAATATAAAAATAGGATGAAAACTGGAGATAGTGTGAATTAACAATAACAAATAGTAACCAAAGAAACACATTTGTGATTTTATTTCCATGCCCCGATTTCCCTACTAACCTTAAAATTGTTTATTATTTTTCATGTACGTTTGAACTAAAAGAAAAAAAATCATTATCTTCATCAGACAGGTTTGAGGAACCAGAAAGAATAACATCAATAGAAACATCACAGTAACGCGAGATACCATCTATCATAACTTGTCTTTGTTGTGTATACAGTATACAATCAAAGAAGTAATGAATTACATTTTCACACCCATTGACACATATATACGCATGTTGGATCGCTCACAACATTTACTCTATACAAATCATACTTTAAACTACAACATGAATGACGCAGTCGCGAATGTAAAATATTTAGAGAACGATTTCCAACATCAAAAAACTTGGGTAACAAGTAACGATGAATCACTAACTTGAAACAGTTACCGAGTGATTGTCCTCTGACACTGTATGGTAAATCATTCCAAAGAAGGGATGATAAAAGATTGAAATGAACTAGACAGTCAGAAGTTGGGAATGGTGTAATTTCCAGTAATTCTCACTTGATATCTATTTCATTCATGTACTGTAGGTGGAAGCAGGTTTGTTATTTAAGGTGTTAGTTTATTGTGGATTTTTTACACGAGAAAAAGTTTTTTTTTTCTGTCGGATAGAGGTTCAAGTTAGGATTTTTGATATAGTGATTGTTTACTAGAAAATGAGGGCAGACCAGTTATGATTATTGCTGCTTCCAGCTGAACTTGCTCAAGTTTGATTACATGTACCAGAGGACAGCCATCCTAAACTTCACAAGCATGTTCTGATACAGGTAAAATAAATACTTTATATATTTTCAACAAAGTTTTCCTGGTCAGCAAATGCTTGAACTTTTGAAGTACTGATACATTTTTCATGCACGATTTGTGAATTTCAGATATAAGTAATGACCATTTTGCATCTGCATTAAATTACTCCTAAATGTTTATGACTTTCAACACAATTATGAGAATCGTTACCATAAGAAATTTGTAATGGCAATACGCTTCTTGAATTAAATGTTAATAACACATCAGTATTCTGTGGATTAAGCTTAGTAAGCCGATCTCTAGACCATTTATCAAGTTTTTCCAAATCTCTGTTGACAGACCTCTCAATATCAGCACAAGACGGTGAAGAATACATTAAAGAGGTATCATAGTAAGCGTGAAATATTATTCAAATTGTCAACGTTGCCATGAATATATATTAAAAACAACAGAGGACCTAAAACACTTTCTTGTGGAACACCAGCATTTGCATAAACTATGTTTGAATATTAATCTTTTACTAGAATCTGTTGTTGTCTGTTCGAAATGTTATTTTCTAACCACTTTAATAAACTACCTCTAATACCATAAGCATTTGTGTAACAGATCCTTATGCCAAACACGATCGACTGCTTTTGATATATCGCAGAATATCAGACAAGTATGTTTTTTTTCTTCCAATGAACAGCATATATCACAATACATTTCTATTAATTGGTGAACAGTTGAATGATGGGTCAGAAAACCAGATTCTGTTTTATAGAATAACGTCAAGGGGAACCACAAACTCTCGCATTTCTATGACCAAGTGTTAAGCAAAGCGTAGCCGAACTGACTACAATACATCGTTATTGTCTTGTGCATTTTGTGTCTATAATCTGTATACCATCTCGTCACACTATTTTCGACTCTCTAGTGTACGCAGGATTATAACACAGCCGAAAAAGTTGGTCGATCGTTTACTCTCTCGTACACTACATACGTCAGTGCTAGTACACCCCACACTGGTCATATGATAGTCATCGAAACGTTATACTACAATTTCCTACTGTTTGTGTTATAAGAATTTGTATTCTATTACATCGGCGTTGTTAACGTATTGCAATTTGAAAGGGTCACTTTGAAAGATGTTATTTACGACTGTGAGTATCTACAGCGGATCAAGTTGTATTCTATATTTTTTATCTTACAGGTAAGTATATGGAACTTGTCGCATACGGTCTGTCTAGGTACACGCACTACTTAGTTGATTGATCTTTGTACCAGTGGACACCGTGGCAAATCAGCAATAACCTATTACGTCATGGGTGTCGTCGATTACACACATCGTCACGGTACATTGAACTTTACCACATTTCTGACCGATCACCTGTGTACGACAACTACGCAAATGCGTCGAAAGTTATATTATTGGTCACAAAAGTTGTAACAGATTAAATTTTACTACTGTTCATTTGAAAAAAAGTAATGTTCCTTTCGAATATAATGTAAATAAATAAATACACACACAACAGGGTCAAATTTGAACGAAATAAGAGATGAAAGCAGTTTCATCTCCGCTCTGTTATACGCCTCATGTTTCAACCTTTTAAGCAACAACAGAAGCTATCGAATGACAACGCCAGTGATACCTGTTTAATATTGACATTCATTATGTCAAACAATAACCCTAACTTTAACAGTTCGTCAAAAATCAGGAAGTGTCTGCGTGGTGCTGCCACCGTCGACATGCGCGTGGCTTGGATTTTGTGACAGAAGGGAGGATACTCTTAGCAGTTTGTTACATTCTCTTTTCAGAGTTGTCGTTCTTAAATATACTGACAACGATACAGTAAAGTCACCTTTTATCGTCTAGTTTTGACTACTTCATGTCACGTGATCTAAAAATGTCGGACTGTGTTGACAATTCAATGCACAGCTGATCGCTAATGAATTAACGATTCATGTCGATAATGAGTCGTTGTTTAATCTATCTTCATCTTGTAAAGTGATATTTCATTTGATCACGTAGAATAAATTTCAAAATGATGCGATCAGTTCAGAATCCGGACTATATAAGAAGTGATGAATACGAAGGGGAGGACGTTGGACTGTTATCTGGAGAACAGCAAAACACATCGCGGAGGGTAATAGGTAATGTTACATAGCAAATCCTGGATAATAAAAAATTACATCTTAATCCTGATAGGATAATCGACCAATAAGCAACGTTGCGGTACCGGAGTTTGCGAATAATCTGTTTTATTATAGATAAGAATAAAAAAAAGACCCAAAACAAGTTATTTATCAAAGTTTAGTTGACCAGTCATGAGGTAAACCATTAACAGGTTACGGCATTATTTAAGAATAGCTAACTTACAACAGTAGCAGAGCACAATATGCAGGGCAGTATAGTATTACACATCTCTGATATATGTAAGCTGAACTTTGGCATGTCGGGACATTGTCAAACATTATCGGACATTTGATAATGGGTTAGGGGAATATGTCCTGACATTGTCAAACATCCGATTTAAGTGAGTCCCAAGAAGGAATCCCAAAAGGGATAACTTTGGTATATACTCTCACCAGAGTCTTCAGTGGAATACCCAAACATAAAGTTTCAGACACTCCAGATACATAGTGAAATCATGGGCATATAATGCGGCATTGTATGTCACTGGTGAAAACTTAACTCCATCGAAACTTGGTAAATATTTACTAAGGTAACTGAAGATCAAACTCATTGAACTTTTTTCAGCAATAAAACCAGGGAAGTCATGCCCTTTCAATCAAACCTATCTGGTTTATACAGGTATATCTTAACATGACCTACATAACTGCTACATAAGCTTACCCGGTCCCTTTGACCTGTTGGTGATACTGGTATGTTGAGTGATGCACATACACAATTATACACAGAAAATTTAAAGTGATATAAATGAAAGTGTTTGCTGTTTTGTTTCTTGATCTTTGTGCAATGATTTTTAAAAATATGTGCTAATTTCTGCATTTCTGTCGAGCAACCAAAAGGCCTCTAGCATATATTACACAAACAACGAGTGGTGGAAACAATATTTAACACTGTATATGTATATACCAGCCAACACATTCTCCTTTTAGAGGTGTAGCAAAATATAGAAAATATTGCTCTAGCTTGCCCAGTGTTGTTTATGATTCATAACCACATTTTTTCATGGTGATTCAGTAATTGTTCAACTACTGTTTAAGATTACTGACATTAGACTTTAGTTGAAATAAATGTTAGAAAAGTGTCAAACATCAAAAGAATTCTTGACTTGAATCAGAGACATATATAACATATACATCTGTGTTTGAATGTACCTTTTATGTATTAGTATGAAAAACTGTGTATGATTTGTATAGTTTAAGGCAATACCTACAAGGAAAAAAATTCCAGATTTATATGTTGATGTATGGGCTCAAAAACATTCAAAGTCAATGGTTGATGTATCTGGTGAAATTGGTCTTCCTTGCTGTGTGCCCCAGCATTATGCTAAAGTTCCATTTTGTCTTGTAAATACCAAGATGCCCTAGGGCAGGTCAACCACCGCCTAAGGCTAGTGTGAGATTAATTATTAGTCAATCTATACAATTTAGCATATCAGTGAACACACTGGTTTTTCAGCTCCACTCATAGCCATTTTATAGTTTATTTAGCCTGCATTTTGTTATTGACTGCATATTTAAAATATCTGGAAAGATGATTACCTATACATATGCACAAATTGGAAGAGAATATCATAATATTCTCATCAAGTTTTTTTATTTTAAGGGTCAACATGGTACGCCTCAGTGTTCCTTGTGGTCAACGCAGCCCTTGGTGCGGGTTTGCTCAATTTCCCTGATGCTTATCACAAAGCTGGTGGTGTAATGGTGGCAGTTATTATACAGGCAGTAAGTGCGATGATCAAATCAGAGCAGTTAAGTTGACTAACCATATCTATTCTTCAGCAAGCCCATGTCTTGTAATATGCCCACCATGTGTATTGAAGTTCATCTAAATTGTTAGCAAACTCTAATTTTCCATTGATATACAATTGAAAAAAAAATTCTTAGGTAAAAATTTCTGGAAATTTAAACAGCAATATCACAGCATTATGTATATTTTATTAAAAAAATATTACTTTGGTGTTGATAAGTTTTCCTACACAGAAAGGTAGATTATTTCCTTTCATTTTATATACAAAAAAGATGTATCTATGACAGCAAAGAGAATATATTTACTCACTTACCATTACCTGTGTTTTAATGTTCTGTTGTAGATATTTTTGGTGTTTGTGGTGGTTGCACTGATGATCCTAGCCTACTGTTCCGATATAAATATGACAGATAATTATCAGGATGTTGTACTGTCTGTTTGCGGTAAAAATGCCCAGCGTTGTTGTGCATTCACCATCATGACATATTGTTTTGGAACATGTATCACTTTCCTCATCATTATTGGGGACCAATGGGAGGAAGGTAAATAAGTATTGCCATAAAAACAATGATGAAATTTCTACAAAAATTATATTTTATTAGGTCACCTGAGACAAAGTCTCATGGTGACCTATTCTTATCACCTTCATCTGGCATCATACGTCATGCAATCCAATTTCCATGCAATTTTGCAGAAACCTTCCCTGGCCAAAAATGAACCAAAATTGTGAATTATACCATTCCCAACACCAAGGGGCCTAAGGGGTGGGGCCAAAAGGGGTCAAAATGACTTAAATTTCAAACATCTTCTTCATGAATGGAAGCATCTTAGGTGTTGTAACAATATGTGAATTTCATAGCCCCAGGGTCTCACATTACCCCATGGGGAGGGGGTAAAGTTTCCTATAGTTTATATAGGAAAACTAGATTTTTGAGCGTAATTTGTTTAATTTTCATTGGATTTATTTCAAACTATTTTATGAGTGAAGGCTGACTGCATGATGGTATGCCCATATTGATTCTGGCAGATCTCCAGGGACTGATGGGTGGGGCCAAAAGGGGTCAAATTGATCTAAATTTCAAAGATCTTCTCAACACCAAGATATGGTAGAATCAAATGCTCTTTATGAATGGAAGCATCTTAAGGTGCTTTAATTACCAAAATGAATTTGACGTTTTTCCTGGGGAGGAATATTTTTTTAGATTTAACTGTAATTTTCATAGAAAAATTGCATTTCAAGCATAATGTTGGTTATTTCCCACTGGAAATAAATTTGTGAGAATTATCAATGTAGGATGACAGTTTTGATGGTATGCATGTATTTACACTGTCTATATTTTCATGACACTTGATAACTATTCTTTAACCTTTATATTCAATATTGCTTATCTCAGATGACCGTCAAGGCTGCTAGCTAGGCTTCTTGTTTAAAAAGTTGAAAGAATGAGATTTAATATCACAGGCAGTGATTCAAACTCCAAAGTTTGCACTGCGTATTTATGCTGCCGTAAGGGAGAGCGTATTGTCACCACTTTGTTCATGTGTTTGTTCATCTGTCTGTCATAATATTGTCCAGGGCATATCATAAAAGCTATGAGAGCTATCAACATGAAACTTCATTGGTACATAGATCTCGATAAGGAGAAGTGCAGTGTACACGAACCATAACTCTGTTTTGCAAAATGTTGGAGATATTGAGACGGTGTATACATTGGTCATACTAAGAGAAAGTGCAGTATACTAAATTCAGGGCCTGCAGCTTCTTAATTACAGAATTATTGCTTTATGATTAAATTTTGTATCCAAAAAAGTCAGTTTTGGGGGGCATTTATCACTTTCACTGATACTCTTGTTTGTTTTTTTTATTTCTTGAAAATTACCTGGAAGATTACTAATTCTCTATAAAAGTTATTTTTCTAGTTTGAAAAGTCTATAGCTCAATAATTTAACAGGTAGCTACCAGTCATCACGATTACCCCAGTCTCTACTCTTATAGTTTGTAGTATAATGCAAGATAATTTTCTACAGATGTCCCATAAAAGTTATAAAAGATGTAAAGAGTATACTTATATACATATGCTGACTTATGAAAACCTGTAGACTTTTTTTTATTGGGAAGTTCTTGCACATTTTACTGTACCAGATTTGTGCTGGTGTGCTTGCATGCATACCTTATTATACAGGAGTGTACACCTTATTATACAGGAGTGTGTACACCTTATTATACAGGAGTGTACACCTTATTATACAGGAGTGTGTACACCTTATTATACAGGAGTGTACACCTTATTATACAGGAGTGTGTACACCTTATTATACAGGAGTTTGTACACCTTATTATACAGGAGCGTGTACACCTTATTATACAGGAGTGTACACCTTATTATACAGGCATGTGTACACCTTATTATACAGGTGTGTACACCTTATTATACAGGAGTGTACACCTTTTATACAGAGGTGTGTACACCTTATTATACAGAGGTGTGTACACCTTAGTATACAGGAGTGTGTACACCTTATTAAACAGGTGTGATGTACACCTTATTATACAGGTGTGTACACCTTATTATACAGGTGTGATGTACACCTTATTATATAGGAGCGTACACCTTATTATACAGGTGTGATGTACACCTTATTATACAGATGTGTACACCTTATTATACAGGAGTGTACACCTTTTATATAGAGGTGTGTACACCTTATTATACAGAGGTGTGTACACCTTAGTATACAGGAGTGTGTACACCTTATTAAACAGGTGTGATGTACACCTTATTATACAGGTGTGATGTACACCTTATTATACAGGAGTGTACACCTTATTATACAGGTGTGATGTACACCTTATTATACAGGAGTGTACACCTTATTATACAGGAGTGTGTATACCTTATTTAGTAGATACACCACATAAATTAAGTTTTAGTTGTGTTCTTTTAACTATCATCATGTACAACATGAAATGACTAATGTTGAAACAAAATATTTTTTAATGATCCTCTGGCAACATAATCATATTTTTTCCCCTTAATTTCACAATATATATGATTTCATAAAATGTATATGTGATTATTTATTATGTTTCTGCAGTGTTCCTATTCACTGTAAAGGGCATGTACTGTGACCAGCACCCCTGGTATATGGACAGGAAGTCAACTATCTGTCTATCTTCATTGTTTCTTATCCTTCCTCTGTGCTTTCCTCGAAGAATAGACTTTTTGAAATACCCTAGGTATGTATCACAAGACTAATGTTACAGTAAGTCCACTAACTTTGTGACAGCCTCAGACACCATAAAAGGCTTATTATATACATTTATCTTTAAGCTTCTCATTGCTAAAGAAAAATGATAAATTAGCAAATTACCAAAGTTAACAGTTAAAAGTAAATAGAGAAATTATACATTTACTGTACACATAAAGTTATGTAACTATTAAACTACAAATTTTGTTCTTCACATTTCTTAATTTTACTGGTTATCTGTGATGAAAGGTCACAATGATTTTGAGTTCTAAGACTGAAAAAAAACTCAAAATAAACTGTGTTTCATGTTTTCCCTACTGTTCCCATTTTTTTGTTTCTGAACCTAATTTTTTTTTGCAAGATTATGGCATAATTACTCAGATAATTCTCCATAATGATTTTGTTCATCATTGTAGAAGTACCACTACTATGAGGCAAATTCACTTAAACTCGACTTTTTTTATACAGGCTAATGTATTCTCTTGACACCTTTCTTTAAGATGGTAGTGGCCAGACCATCAAAAGTAATTGTAAATGTAAGATACATTTTGTTATCTTTGGTGCCAAGAAAAGCTTTTTTAGGTCATCTGACCCTTGACCCACTTTCTAGGTCACAGGACCTGTTAAAATTTTTAAACAACTTCTCAACAACCAAAAGGCTCAGAATGCTGATATTGGGTCTCTGGCATGCTGGGATGAAGGGCTACCAAGTTTGTTCAAATGAATGACATTGACCCACTTTCAAGGTCACAGTGGTCAAATATGTAAAAATATACAAACAATTTCTTCTCAATAAGCAAAAGTCCAAGAGTGCTGATATTGGGCCTTTAGGGTGCTTGGAGGAAGGGCTCCCAAGTTTGTTCAAATAAATGACCTTGACCCACTTTCTAGGTCACAGGGGTCAAATATATTAAAAAATATACAAACAACTTCTTCTCAATAAGCAAAAGTCTAAGAGTGCTGATATTGGGCCTGTAGGATGCTTGGAGGAAGGGCTACCAAATTTGTTTAAATAAATGACCTTGACCCACTTTGTAGGTCACAGGGGTCAAATATGTTAAAATTTTTAAACAACATCTTCTCAACAACCAAAAGCCTCAGAATGCTGATATTGGGTTTGTAGGATGCTGGGATGAAGGGCTACCAAGTTTGTTCAAATGAATGACCTTGACCCACTTTCAAGGTCACAGGGATCAAATAACCACTTTCTAGGTCACAGGGGTGCATGGATGACATGCTACCAAGTTTGTTAAAATATACAAATATGTTAAAATATACAAACAACTTCTCTTCAATAAGCAAAAGTCCAAGAGTGCTGATAACGGACCTGTAGGATGTTGGGATGACATGCTACCAAATTTGTTCAAATGAATGACCTTGACCCACTTTCATGGTCACAGGGGTTAAATATGTTAAAATATGCAAATGACTTCTCAATAACCAAAATGATTTGAGTGCTGATATTGGGCCTGTAGGATGCTTTGAGGAAGTGTTACCAAATGTGTTCAAGTGAATGACCTTGACCCACTTTCAAGATCACAGGGTTCAAATATGTTAAAATCTGTAAACAACTTCTTCTCAGTAACCAAAAGGATCAGAATGCTGATATTGGGCCTGTAGAATGCTGGGAGGAAGGGCTACCAAGTTTATTCAAATGAATAAAGCCCACTGTTTTAACGGCAGACTCACTGTTGTTAGAGTTTTGCTTGCCTTTTGTCAGATGACTGTTAAGGCCCATGGGCCTCTTGTTAATTTCTGAAATTGACAACCAATATCAAATGTATATCTTGAGTCTAATTCTACTTCTCTGTAAATACCTAATGTTAAAATTCATATTCAATTAAAAAAAATAGGGACCAAAACCAAGTTTATTCATTTGATCACTGAAAACATTTAGAAAAAAAAGGAAAAGAACAATTCTACAGAAATAGAATACCACAGTACCAACACAATGCATGGAAAATCAAAAGTGGATATCAGACAAATAGATACTTAAAAAGACACCAAAAGTGAGAATTGTACAGGAGTGCATTTCCAGACATGTAGGCATTTTTATGCATCATTTCTGAATGTGATCAGTTTGCATTGCTTTGACAATTGTTAACAACACACTTCTTATTGTATACGCCCCTCCCTCACCCTCAACCCTCCACAAACATGTTTGGGCAGGGCAATGTAGGGAATCTCCTTGTGTAAATATCTTGATAACACATATGTGATAGTTAATTATACCTGACATGTTGGTATAAACCGTCCTACAATCAATATGTGTTACTTGAATGGTCAGTGTTAAAGGCAAGTAAACATTGATAAAAAAATGCCTACCAACAATAATTTTTTTTAGTCAAAAACTGGAAACAGATTAGTTTTCTGGGCCTAATAGACCTTCATCATTTTGGATATAAATTGGATTGTTTGATAATAACTTCAGCATACTTTGAAATTTACAGTGCCCTTGGTGTGGTTGGAATATTATATGTAGTTGGATTGGTAACTTTCAAATACGTAACTCCTCACCCAACTCCAGATCACATCACCACAGAGTAAGTAGTCAAGATACCAATGATTTCACTTAATGTAATATCTGTTAATGTCACAATCTGGTTAATATTACATTTTTCTATTTATACCACCAGTTGCAATTTCTTTTTCTGATTTTTCAAAAAAGGGGATATATAATACTTCGTAAGAAGTTTTGGACAAACTCATACACAAGGATTTTATACATTTACATTAATTAAAATTTGTATTGTATTTCTGTTGACAGACCAAAACAATGGATGGATTTGTTCTTAGTTGTACCAACAATTTGTTTTGCTTATCAGGTAAGGTACCCTGTTTGGTGTATCTTTATAAAAAACAGTTGAAAGAAAAATTCCCTAATGAGTTAATGATGAAAATATCAGGGCTGAACAGTCATTATCATGTATTGTGTCACTGTGACCTTAGTTTCCAATGACCCCAAAGCCAGATGTAAACACTCTGTCAAAATGTTTAACAATTGGTTTTTGGGTCAGAGGATACTCGAGTTTGATTAATATGAAGAAATAAAAGTATGACTGAAAGACGAAACCATGCAATAAATTATTTAATTTTTAAAATAGAACTAAGACGCCAGGAATTTGATTGGCATTTCAGTGCCACGTGAGTGTGATACCAATATACTCTTGTATGAAGAAGCGAGGTATGAAGGAGTTCGGTAAGACAATTGGCTGTGCTATAGCTTTGTGTATACTGACGTATACCGTCGTAGCTGCCTTTGGGTACCTGACCTTTGGAGATGCAATCACCACAGACATCTTACTGTCATACGACCCAGACCCCTGGGTTCTTGTAGCTGTCATCCTTATCGCTGTGAAAACCTACACCACTTATCCCATACTGCTCTTTTGTGGCAGGTGAGATTTATTCATAATAGTTAAAAGGAATGACAATGTTTGAAAATACTCTAGACAATTAAATTTATTTGAATCAATTTTAATAAAAGAAGGTTTTGTTTTCTTTCTTTAAATGAAGTGTATATACTGTTTTTAAAACGTGTTGTCTTGAAGATTGGTATGGAAGTTCATACTGTAATGCACATTATTTTGGTGTTGACCACTCAGATGCTGAATTTTAAATTCTTTATTCAGGTGTGATTGGAGATAAGCCTATGTCTGTCTCAGTTACAAGTATGTCAATGTTTTGACAAATGATATAATACCTGAAACCAGATGTGTTTATGAAACACTATGGCCCCGGTTGCAACAAATTTCTGAAGTGGGACATTAAAACTGCTGTGTAAGGCAAGAGCTAATTGAATGCACACTTTTTTTATACACTTATGTTTTACTGTGCAATAGTTAAAGCCAATGTTTAAGTTTTTCAAAAGTAGGTCAAAGTTCATGGTCAAGGTCACAGGGTTAGGAAAGTCCTTTTCATTCCTGGCAAAAACATCCACGCAGAGATTAGAGAAGAAACAAAACTGTCTCTCTAATTTTTAAAGTCAAAATTGTTTGAAATTTTTGTTTTATATTGTCTTGATCAGGGCAGCATTAGACTGTTTGTGGGTGGATGTCCATCGCATGACTACGGAACAAGTGGAGGCCACAGAGAGATTTAGGAGAATCATTGTAACGATGCTATGGTTTTTAGCGACCCTGGCTATGGCCATATTTATACCCAATATCGGAGTAGTCATTCAGATTCTTGGTGCTTTTGCAGCAATATTCATCTTTGTTTTCCCAGGTATGAAATTTTTAAACATGACTAACATTTTTCAAAGTGAATTAAAGATTAAAAATTAAAGAAAAGAAATAAATGAAAAGCAAAGAAAATAAAAGGAAACAAGTTGATTTGTTAAAAGGAAAATTATGCAGTACAGTGTAATATTTTCTTGAGAATTCATATATAATCTTGAAAATGCTTGCATGCATGGAGATGTATATTAAGACAATTTTTAAGAGCCCTAAAGGCAAATTTTGAACAAATAAGACCACAGACCAACAAAAAGTTACGCAATGCGTATTTCATCATGTATCTTTGCCAGGTAACAGATCAGTTAGCCATGTTCAGGTGTCCAACTGGCTTAAAAAATAAACTTTATTTATTTTACTACAATTGCAGAACAAGTTTTTTCAATTTATATTAATCACTTTTGTTGGCATGGATGAAAGTGTGTGAGGGGTCTTTCTGTGGAAGGAATCAAACCCGAATGGCTAGGTGCAAGACAAGTTTGTCACCACTGCTCCACATGACCACCAGATGCAATTATCAATTATATTACCAATTTCGTCATTGACTCAGAAAATTTGGACAAAAGTGGCCATAAGGGAAGTTTGTCTGATTCCTTTTACTCATTATTCAAACTATCTAATTACTATTAAGGCCACATATGTCAGATATTTCATTAAATTTGTCTTGACATTTTAATGTTTTCTTGCCAAGGCTCATATTTTGTAGAATCTTATATAGAATGAAACTCTTTTAAAATTCTATATATACTGGATGTGCTGATATTTTTGTACATTACAGGTATGTGTATGGTGAAGGCTGTTCAAATGAAAGCTAATGGAGTCTGGGATAAAAAATTAAAAGCTATGATGATGTTTGCATGTACTTTCATAGTCATTGGAGCGTTTATATTTGGTTTAACTTTAACACAGTCAATACTTACTGACTCTGGTGGTGTGAAAGCCGACAAGTCAAAATATACCTGCTGACAACAGTTTGTTTAAACCATAAATATGTAAGGATTTGAACGTTATGTAAATTTTATGTATTTATTTATGAAAGTTTTTTGTTAGGAATACCAACCAACACTAAAGAAAAAATATTTGAACCAACTTTTTTGTTTCAAATGATATTACATGATCCATTTGTATTTCCTCGCTCTTTGATTCTTAAAGAAATCATATTAAAATTAAAAAAGTAATAATAGACATTCAGAATATTTTTGATGAATACCTGTGTTCCACTGTTTATGGTATTTGTATGACACAGAAAAAGCAATTCTGATTATCATGTATAGAATTCTTAAGTAATTTTTAAAAAATTTTTGTTAATATGTTTTAATGTGAGAAATCATTTGTTATGTGCTCTGTTTCATTTGTATGATATTACAAGTGAAAATGATCATTTGAATGATATTGGGCCAGTAGTTCAAAGATATGCTCATCACTTTATTTCACATCTTTAAAATACATGTAGCCACAAGTAAGTTGTGATTATAAAATATTCCAAACTGTTGTGACTGATTGCTATGACAATAAATTCATTATTATCTCCCTTTAATTATTAAGGTTATTGCTCTACTTTTTATTCAATGATATTTTCTAATTTTTTGTGTGAATCCTTTGTTTGATCTTAATATTTTATTTTGAAATTGTAAATAATTCTACACAGAACTTGTCAGTCACATTCCATTTTTTAACCTTTGGTGAAGATCTGAGGTGATTTGTGTTTCTCGGGACAGTCTGTGTTGATGTGGTCATGTTCTTGGTCAAGGCACTGGAAAGCATGTGGAGGTCCTCTTGTGTTCAGTAAAGTATCAACACTTTGAGGAGACTCCATCTCAATATGACCCTGGCTGTTCATGGGGCTATAAACCTAGCAAACAAAGCTTTTGGATAATTTTTTTTTTTTTTTTTCAAATTTATTGTTTTTTAAAAAGAATGGCAAGTATGTAGCTTGACATTTTCTTGTAAGAGGGTGTGGAGTCAACACTGTCATGTTTCTAAAGTTTGATAGTTGATTTCTAGATTCCTTAATGTATAAATGAAGGTATGACATTTTCCAAATACTCATGTTGTGTAGAAATATTGAATACATGAATAATTACTAAATGTAAGATGTTGTTTGTTGTTTTCATGTTTAAAATGAATTTTTTAGCATTAATCATATTGATTATAATGACATTATAGAGAGAATTTCATGAACTTTTCCAATATATTTGAGTATTGCTTATTTATGATTTGTATGTCAACAGAGTTACCTCCCTTAGTTGGTATTCATCATTACGAGGCACTAGGTCAGTATGATAGGCTCCAGCATACAAAGTAACTGAGTCAGTAAACTTATTTCAAGATCTCCATTTATTATTATACCTGAGTGATTTAGAAATTCAATAGAGCATCAAGTTTGATCAATATGAGATATGAATTATGATATTAAGTGAAATCTTTTATTTTTTGGTAGAATTTTTTTTAGACAGTGATGGTATTTGCATTGGTTATAGTTAATGATGTTAATTTTATCAGAACATAATAAAGTGCTTATTTAAATAACCGTAACTCGGTTTGTTAATATTTCACTCAACCTTAACTAGGTTTGTTAATATTGCAATCAACCTTAACTAGGTTTGTTAAGATTTCACTCCACCAAATAGACACAGAGAGAACTTACAAAAGTACTTACAAAAGTATCTTTCCCCACCAGAAAAAAGAACTTGTTCATGTTGGTCTATTTAAGAAGCTTATGGATTGAATAATGTGTAGTACACAAACCATTCTGCAACATATTTTTAAAATGATTATGCATTATTGTAATTTTTTCAGTTCATTAATTTTACTTTGAATGGATATATATCTTTTGTCAGAAAATTTCTGCACAAGAATATTAATTTTGATTGGTTGTTTTTCTTTTTTTAAACACTGATTCATTTAATAATTGCATTTTATTTTGATAACAATCTTTGTGTTTTTTAAAACTTGAGATATATTTTACTTTCAGTTGTATTTGATGTTGTCAGATTACATCAGACATATCAGATTGTTCAATGAGATCAGCAGGTGCATAGCCAATTGGTTCTGAGTATGACAGGTATGAATTTGGGTGCAGGGACTTGGCCTTCTGCTTAGGGTCTCGGGGGCAGACCCAACCGACATTCCTCCCCACCCTATCCTCCACCCTCACCCCTCAAAAAAACAACCTGGTAAAGAATTGCAATGATTTTGGCAAATAATATTTTCAATACTTTGTTTTTCAAAGATGTGTATGCAGCATGTACTTGCATAAAGGCAGTATGTGCTCGGTCAGTATGTTTTTATTGCAATCATGATTTGTCTGTCGTCGTGCGTCGTTAACTTTTCACATATTCGACTTCTTCTCAAGAACCACGGGATGGATTTTGACCAAACTTGGCACAAAGCATCCCCATTGGAAGCCGCTTCAAGTTTGCGAAGAAAAAGGGCGTGGCCCCAATAGGGGCCCCAGGAGGGGGAAAAAGGGGATAAAATTAGGTAAATTTTTAAAAATCTTCTTCTCATGATCCAACAGTCAGATTAAATTCATATTTGATATTTAGGGTCATGGCAAGGTCTACAAAGTTTGCGAATGAAAAAAAATTCGGGCCAAAAACGGCCCCACTAGGGGACGCTCAAAAGGGTTGAAAATTCAACTTTGACCGATTTCAACCAAATTTGGTAGACAGAATACCTTAGTGAAGGACATATGAAATTATGTTGAAAAAAGTGATAATGTCCCCTTTGGGGCCCATATGGGGTGTTAAAGATGCCATATGTAAAAACCTTCTTTAAATGACTTCTTCTCAAGAACCAGTGGATGGATTTTGACCAAACTTGGCACAAAGCATCCTCATGGAAAGCCGCTTCAAGTTTGCGAAGAAAAAGGGTGTGGCCACAATAGGGGCCGCAGGAGGGGGAAAAAGGGGGTAAAATTAGGTAAATCTTTAAAAAATCTTCTTTGCATGAACCAACAGTCAGATTAACCACTGGGTTGATCATGTCTAAACTTGATACGAATGTTCTACACAAGGTCCTGGCAAGTGTTTTAACTTTTTGGGGTGATTCAAAATCCAAGACATTTTGGACTTCCTCTCAAGAACCACTGGGTGGATCATGTTCAAACTTGGTACAGATATTTTACACAAGGTCCTGCAAAAGTGTTGTTACATTTTTGCAACATTTTAAAATCCCCAGATTATTGACATATATTCCTCGGGTGACCGTTAAGGCCCCTTGGGCCTCTTGTTATGTATGAGACCATATTATCCTGCAGTAAAATGAGGTCAACATGGAAAGTTTGGTTTAAAGTTCACAAGACAATGAAATATCAAGTCTAGTAATTGTACCGGACAGCAGTAGATATGGGTGGGCTTATTGTCAGTTAAATTCAGTTGTTATTAATGACTTTCTCATATTTGTTTGTTTATGTAGTCATGGTTTATTAATGTATGTTGATGTGAAATTTGTTTTATGAATTCTGTCAATTTATTCAACCTGGTGCCAAAATGTCATGATTTGAGATTATATTTGTAAATCCATGTAAATTGTAAAACTTACAGATTTCCTGACAACTGTTATATTTTACAGATATCTTTTTTAGCTGATTGCAACTTGTAATACTATTTTCCATGGATAAAAAAGATGCTGTTGTTTGGTTTTACCTTCAAAAACTTAAGCACATTTTAAAATATATTAGAATTGATGGATGTTTAGAAGATGAGTTGATAAACAAAATTTGTTATCACAGATTAAACATATCAAATGAAAGAATAATCTTTTTCAAATTATTTCTTCAGATTTTTTACATGTAGAAAATATTTTATTATGTCCCCCAAACGAAGTGGGGGGACATATTGTGTTTGCTCCATTTCTTATTATTATGTCCCCCAAACGAAGTGGGGGGACATATTGTGTTTGCTCCATTTCTTATTATGTCCCCAAAACGAAGTGGGGGGACATATTGTGTTTGCTCCATTTCTTATTATTATGTCCCCAAAACGAAGTGGGGGGACATATTGTGTTTGCTCCATTTCTTATTATGTCCCCAAAACGAAGTGGGAGGACATATTGTGTTTGCTCCATTTCTTATTATTATGTTCCCAAAACGAAGTGGGGGGACATATTGTGTTTGCTCCATTTCTTATTATTATGTCCCCAAAACGAAGTGGGGGGAGATATTGTGTTTGCACCATTTCTTATTATTATGTCCCCAAAACAAAGTGGGGGACATATTGTGTTTGCTCATTTCTTATTATTATGTCCCCAAAACGAAGTGGGAGGACAAATTGTGTTTGCTCCGTTTCTTCTTCTTATTATTATCTATTGCCATAATAATTTGTCTGTCGTTGTGCGTCCTTAACTTTTCACATATTCGACTTCTTCTCAAGAACCACTGAATGGATTTTGACCAAACTTAGCACAAAGCATCCCCATGGGAAGCTGCTTCAAGTTTGCGAAGAAAAACGGCGTGGCCCCAATAGGGGCCCCAGGAGGGGGGAAAAGGGGGTAAAATTAGGTAAATCTTTAAAAATCTTCTTTGCATGAACCAACAGTCAGATTAAGTTCGTGCGTCGTTAACTTTTTAGGTCAACTGAGCCAAAGGCTCATGGTGACCCATTGCTATCCTGATTTGTTTGTTGTCGTCCGTCGTTGGTCTTTAACTTTTCACATTTTCGATTTCTTCTCAAGAACCACTGGATGGATTTCAACCAAACAAAGTATCCCTATAGTAAGATGCATCAAGTTTGTGAAAGAAAAGGGTGTGGCTCCAATAGGGGCTACAGGAGGGGGCAAAAGGGGTAAAATTAGGTAAATCTTTAAAAATCTTCTTATGAACCAAGTATCATATTTTCCCAAAATTCAAAATTAAAGATTCTTCAAGTAAGGACTACAATGTTTGCGAATGAGAAAAAAATTGGGTCATAAACAGGCCCTCCAGGGGGCACTAAAAGGAGTCAAAATTCAAAGTTGACAGATTTCAACCAAATTTAGTATATAGGGTCCCCTAGTGAAGAACATGTGACTTTGAGTTGAAAAAAAGTGTCTGAGGGGTTCTTGGGCCTCAAAGGGGGCAAGAAGGGGTCAATAAGATTTTTT